CGGAGACGCTGACGAGGCAGAGTGCGGACTCGATGTGCCTCGAGATCCACGGCGCAGCGATGCCAATCGCCCAGGTGTTTGTCTTGCGAAGCCGAAGAAAACTGAGAGGCCGCGCGACACGACAGATGTTTCGCTGCTGCGCATCGAGCGCAAGCTGCAATTGAGAACCTTGCTATATCGTCCCGTTCCGTCCCTTCCCTCTCCCTTCCCTCCTGTTTCGTTCTCTGTCGTGCTTGATGTACTCCCTCTCACCGTTTGTGGCACGCTCGGTTGTGGCACGCTCGTTGTGTCTCACCGTTTGTGGCTTGCTAAGCATAGAACTCTGTGTCGGCGTTCCGACCGTGCTGTGAGATATGTTACGCGACGTGACAGAAATCGGTTGACGTCAGAGCTTGAAGATTCCTGGGGCGAGCGGTCCTGCAGTGTCTCTTGGGAATTAACTCGCAAGCTGAGCTGGAAGACGCTCGGGTCCAAGCTGCGCCCGTATTCGACCTCTAACATGCATTTAGATTGCGAGGGTTGACCAGACTTCCTGTAGAGGCCTGGGGAGGAGGTGATTTTGGTGCTTATAAAAAAGCTGGCGTTCCTAAGTACGATGCTTCCCTGGATGACCGTCTCACCCTCGAGCCGCGCGAGGGCAACTTGCAAGATGTCGGTGCCGCCGCGAAAGAGGTGTGCGGAAAAATCCCGGGTCTTCGACGTGTCAGGTTGCGCCGTGCACTTCCGTCGTGGTTCATGTCTGCTGGCGCATGGCGCATGTTGTTTTGGCCTAAGGGGCTTAAGCCACGTGCGAGAGCAGGTCTAGGTGCGGAGGCAGAGAGCTGGACTTGCTGGCGACTAGGCACGGTCTGTTCGCGATGTTGGTAGTTGTTGGACTACATGAAGAAGCACCACTGATTTGGCATTGCGGTTAAGCGTTTGCGCTCAGTAAGGCTAACGGGAAAGCTGACTGTGCAGGACTTCGTCTGTTTCATAGTTTAGAGCCTTTCGGGGAGTCGTTCTACAAGCATCTTTGGAAAGCTAATCCTAAGTTGTCGTACGAAGCCTCCAGACATCATGCGTATGGATACCTCAGGAACTGGCGGAGGGAAGGAGCTATACTAGTCCAAAGCCTTGTGCAAGAACGTGTAAGAGAAGCGGCTCTAAATTCCAACGCGGATTTTTACGACGCGACGAACGCGCGATATGCTGATGATGTTTATCCGCTTGCAAGCGGACGAGCTCGCTACTGCGATCTTTGCAGATACATAGGTGCAAATTCACGTCAGCCTGGAGTGCGTCGACGGCGTTCTAGAGATGGGGATCGGATGCGGTTATATTCCTGGGGACTCTATTGCGTGCTTATGGTTCCTGGGTCCGTATCATTGGTCTGTTGATGGGGTTGTGTGTACCCGCGCCCTGGGCTTAGCGTTTCTGCTCCTTGGTCATAGCACTGTTTGACCGATGACGTGCACGATCGTGTCCGCCTCTTTTTTTGGTCGCACCAGTCGATCGATGTGTCTCTGACTGCGTTCGCTGGCGATCTGGCAAGGATTCAGCTCGTACGCTCGCTTGAAGATATGATCAGGCCTTACGAAAGTAGCGCTGAACATCTCAAAGACAGACTAAGTATCGCCAACGTTCAGGCCAACTCGAACAAGCAGGACTGCTCAGTGCACCTTGGAAGGTAGAGGTGCTACTGCTGCTCGGCGCCGCTTTTTTGGAGTGAGGCACGTGGACGAGAAAGGCATCTGGAGACTGAGGAGCAGAGAGGAGATGTCTGGCAACATCGCGCGTGCTTGAAAGTATCTCGGGCCGTTTCTTCAGGCCGACGGCAGCCAAGCTTCAGGCATCTCACGGCGTGTACAGAAAGCCCGGCAGGGATATCAGCTTCTGCAAGGATTCCGGCAGCATTGCTCCAACAAGCGTTGAAAGAGTATCGTGTTTCGTTCGGTGGTAGATGGAGCTCTGATGTCTGGCTTGGCTGCTTGCGTTTTACGTAGCCAAAGTGAGTATAAGCTGGACGGCGCGCGTGCAGCCATGGCACGCTGATTGTGCAGGGGGAAGGCTAGCGGTAAGAAGCAGGGGGAGGAGATCCAGTACGGCGCCGTGACTAATAAGACGGTCCTCTCTCAATTAAGGCTCGTTCATGCTTCATGCTTCGCTTGCGCTTCGAGTGCAGAGTCTGAAGTGGATGCAAGCCATTGTGAGGCGGCCTCCCCGTAACTTTTCAAATTACTGGGGCGTTTTTTGGAGAGGGTTCATGGGAGGATACGGAGTTCAGGAGCTTGGATAGGGGAAGGGTATTGTGTGGGGCCTGTTCGGACCTGGTGAGAGCAGTTTCAAGCCGATCTTGCTGATCTGTTTCGTACTGGCGAATGCCTACAACACGTTGAACATGTACGTGCGCGACCCGTTGCGATCTTTTGCGGCGAAGACGTACGACATGATTTCCTCTCCACTGATCCTCGTGTTCTCGCCTGTGAACACCTAGGTCAACAGATACCTCCCTCCGTGTCCCTGGGTGCCTCTCCTCCCTCTCCTCCCTCGCCTCCTCAGCCCCCTCCTGCCCCTGGCTTCGTCTGTGGCCTCAGTTTGGGGGAGGGGAAAGGTATCTGTAGTGCTGTATACCCCACTGGGCGGCTGCTCCTCCTGCATCAAGGCAACCCTCTGCTTCCTAAACTTGGTATCAGAGATCTTGCTCGTGTGGCTACTGTATCTAGCGCGTGTATACGGTGGGAATACGTAGGCCACAAAAAGGCTCGCTAGCGAACATCTTCTGCGGAGTTTGGTTAATAACGAATACCCGAGGTCCCGAGGTTCTACGACGGTATTCGATCAAGCTGTTCCTGCCCCCTACGAGTGTCTGAAGTGCAGGGTGCCTTTCTGTAGCTATCCAGAGGCTCACTGGCATCTGCGTGAACACGTACCTTTGGAAGAACATATTCCAGAACTGTAAGCATACGTCCCGGCCACAAATGGTCTTCTGTCTTCGGCCAGGTGGGTGCGAAGCCTTCTGCCGATGCTGCCGACCCAAGTGTTCAGGCTCGCAAGCGCACTGCCGTTGAAGATGGCCGCACGGAGAAGAGAGCCGCTCTCGCCCTCAAGCCAGGTGTCATCAACGCCCGGAGGAACCGCCTCCCTGGGGCGGGGTGCACCACGCAGTTCACGGTCAAGGTTGCCGGTCCAATCTACCAAGCCATGAAGTCAGCACTCGAGACTGAGTACATCCCCCATGTCGAGGGCCAGAAGGGGCACGGCCTGGGCGCGCAGAACGGCTTCATGTTCACAGGAGTTGTAGTCACAGCGGTGCAGCGCGCGCCGCCAGATCAGCAGGCAGTGCTGCGCAAGTTTCTGAATACTTCTGTTGCCGGCGATCAGCAGTCCCACAGCTCTTGATCAGGCTTTTTCCCGCACGGAAAAAGGTTCGATTCAAGAGTGCGAAGGCTTATGGTTGCCACCATCGATCCCGTTCTGGAGGCCACGGTTGTCCAGATGTCGGTCTCTTCGAGAGAAGAGGCCGCTGACTTCACTGGCCCGCGGCCTGCGGGCTACCTTCCTTGCACTCGAGGGGCGAGGGATGATTGCTTCTGGAGAGCGCAGCAACCTCAGGAGTTCGGCCGTGCGCCGACGTCTGCCGTCGGGCACCGTCGCTGGCGAGCTCCAGTTCGAGAGCCTGCTATGAGGGGTACTCCCCAAACTGCTCCCAAATCCATCCGACCCTGGACTCAGAGGAGCGATGCCGATACCTCCCCTCCTCCGCCTCCCTCCTCTTCCTCCTCCTCCTCCTCCTCCCTCCTCCTCCTCCTCCTCTTCCTCCTCCTCCTCCTCCTCCTCCTCCTCCCTCCTCCTCCTCCTCGCCTCCTCCCTCCTCCTCCTCCTCCTCCTCCTCCTCCTCCCACTCCACCCTCTCCTCCTCTCCTCCTCCTCCTCCTCCTTCCTCCTCCTCCTCCTCTCCTCCTCCTCCTCCTCCTCCTCCCTCCTCCTCTCACCCTCTCTCCTCCTGCCTCCTCCTCCTCCTCCTCCTCCTCCTCCTCTCCTCCCCTCCTCCTCCTCCTCCTCCTCCCTCCTCCTCCGTTCCTTGCCTCCTCCTCCTCCTCCCCCCTCCTCCCCCTCCACCCTTTCCTCCTCCCCTCCTCCTCCTCCTCCTCCTCCTCCTCCTCCTCCTCCACCCTCTCCTCCTCCTCCTCCTCCTCCTCCTCCCTTCCTCCTCCTCTTCCTCTCCTCCTCCTCCTCCTCCTCCTTCTCCTCCTCCTCTCCTCCTCCTTCCCCCCCTCCTCCTCCTCCTCTCTCTCCCTACCCTCCTCCTCCTCCCTCCGTCCTCGGCCCCTGCCTCCTCCTCCTCCTCCTCCTCCTCCCTCCTCCTCCTCCTCCTCCTCCTCTTCCTCCTCCTCCTCCTCCTCCTCCTCCTCCTCCTCCTCCTCCTCCTTCTCCTCCTCCTCCTCCTCCTCCTCCTCCTGCCTCTCCTCATCCTCCTCCTCCTCCTCCTCCGTCCTCCTCCTCCTATCCTCCTCCTCCTCCTCCTCCTCCTCGCTCCTCCTCTCCTCCTCCCTTCCTCCTCCTCCCTCTCTCCTCCTCCTCCTCCTCCATCCTCCTCCTCCTCCTCCTCCTCCTAGTCCTCCTCCTCCTCCTCCTCCTCTTGATCCCCCATGCCCCCACTAACTTTTTCCCTGACCCACTTTCGGGCAATGCCTCGGCTCCCTCCGGCAGCTGTGCGAGGCGATCCTGGCACCCCCAGAACGCTCTCGGCGAGGCGCAGCTGCTGAAGGCACCCCGAGGCTGGAAAACCGCTGAGAACCTACGAGAACTGCCTGAATCTTCTAACCCCATCCGAATCCCCGAAGACCTCGAACCTCGCCCGAGTCCATCCCAACGTTGACCCCTCCTCCTCCTCCTCTTCCTCCTCTTGATCCTCCTCCTCATACTCTTCTTCTCCTCCTCCTCCTCCTCCTCCTCCTCCTCCTCCTTCTCCTCCTCCTCCTCCTCCTCCTCCTCCTCCTCCTCCTCCTCCATGGTAGGCCTGGTGGGCCTGCGACAGGTGCCCCGCGGGCGCGAGCTCCGCTGCCGCGTCCTCGAGGCAACCGCATGCGACCCCTGTGACCTCAGACCCCCCTCTCGGCTGGCAATTCAACTTGTCCTTCCCCCCCTAGTCCTCCCCCTCGTCCTGGTGCCCCATGCTGTGCGTACAGGGGGTGTCAGGTGGAACCCTCCCACGACAGCTTGCGTGGGTGACCTTCTCGGGCCCTCCGACGGCCTTCTGCAAGTACGATGACGACGGCGGCGGCGGCAATGACGACGGCGGCTGCCTGAGCGGTGGTCGCCGAGGGGGGAATCATCATAATCCAAATGCGGCTGGGGCTCCCAATCCGCCAATAAGCCTGCGCCAGAGGTTGTAACTTCCCCATGATATAAAACAACAAAAAACCCTGTGAGGTCACCCCTGCACGTCAGAGTGTCGGAGCGTCCGCCGGAGCTCAGAACCGAGAAGACGCCTGCGGGCACGAGAGAAGCCAGCGGGGGTGTCTGATACCTCAGCGCCAGCTGGACCCGCGGGGGCGAGGCTCGCACATAGACCCTGGACGCCATGGCGCTTTCATGACGAGAATCCCAGAGGCCTCGACCCCTGCTCCTCCCCCTCCTCCTTCCCCTCCCCCTCCTCCTCCTTACCATCTGCCCTCCTGTCTCTGCGTGCTCTGTGCACCCTCCCTCCTCCTCCTCTCCTTCGCTTCCTACCCTCTCCTCCTCACCTCCATCCTGTCCTCCTCCTCCTCCTCCTCCTCCTCCTCCGCCTCCTCCTCCTCCCGCCTCCCGCTTCCCCTCCCCCTCCTCCTCCTCCCCTCCTCCTCCTCCCTCCTCACTCCTCCTCACTTCCTCTCCTCCTCCTCCTCCTTCCTCCTCCTCCTCCTCCCCCTCCGCTTCCCCTCCCCCTCCTCCTCCTCCTCCTCTCTCCTCCTCCTCCTCCTCCTCCATCCCTCCGTCCTCCTCTACTCCTCCTCCTCCTCCTCCTCCTCCTCCTCCTCCTCCTCCCCCTCCTCTTCCTCCTCCTCCTCCTTCTCCTCCTCCTCCTCCTGCTCCTCCTGGGGCAAGCTCTCCATCCTGAGCAGTCGTTGGGCAGCCCCCGGGCTCGGCGAGGGCCCCCAGGGCCGAAGATAACAACAACAGCAGCGGCAACAACAACAACAAAACCAGCAACAACAACAGCAACAATAATTCTAAGACTGTTCGCCCTTATAAATCTATGCTCGAGTGTCCAATAACGCGTATTTCCCATACCCTCGAAACCCGCCCTCTTCGTCTTCGATCGAACCCCTTTTGGGGGGTAGACCTGCCTTCCCTGCAGAACGGGCCCCAGCAAGCGGCGGGGCGGCCTCGGACCGTCGGCGTGGCAAGCGGCAGCGCTGATCGGCGGGGCGGCCGCGGACCGTCGACCCGACCCCAAGAGGGACGGACAGGGGACCGACCACGACGACGACGACGACGACGACGACGACGACGGCGACGACGACGACGACGGCGACGACGACGACGACGTCGAAGACGACGGCGACGGCGACGACGACGGCGACGACGAGCGAAAGTGAGAGCGAGAGAGAACGACAGCAGCGCCACGAAGGGCACGAAGTAGGTCACGAAGGGCGACAGCGGGGACACGGAGGGACTGCGTATGGGGCCACGAAGAGCGCGAACGAGCGGGGGCCACGAAGTGCTGATAATGCGAGGCCACAGAAGGCAACTATGGAATTACTGAGGGTAGCAACTGGGCCACGTAGGACAGTGAAGGGGGACACAAATGGCGACAGCGGGGCCACGAAGGGCATGCACATGGGACCACAACGGGCGCGACTCCTGGGTGCCTGGGTGTCGGGAGCGCGGCGCTTGTGAAAATCGCAGGAAATTCCAACGCAAGGCCATTCTTCAGTAAGTTGCCAGCAAGCCTCCAGCGAGAGCGCGACTCCAGAGCGCCGGGAGAGCAATTCCCCGAAAAAATTGCAAGCAAGTCCCAAGTGAGAGCGCGACTCCTGAATAACATGCGAGGAAGTCTCGGGCGGGAGCGGGGGTCCTGGCTGAATTGTAAGGAAGTCTCAGGCGGGAGCCGTTGTTGTTGTTGTAACCCGGGGGCCAGGGGTCCAGTTTGAGCATCAAGACTGTCCGTAACAAAAAACAGGGTGCGAGCGTCGAGGGGCACACTTTGTTTGAGAACAAACAGTATGCACCGGTGGGGGGGATCAACAACAAATATTCTCCAGAAATGAGAATTCAACAAAAATGTCCGTCGCGTGTTCCGTCTCGAGCCTCCTTCCCCCCCTCCTCCGCGGTTGCTCTATGCTTGTTCAACCGCTCTACAGTGCGCCCAGTGTCCAGCGCGGCCTGCCGGCCCTGCAGTCGCGCTCGCGGCCGCCAGCGCCGCGAACTGAAGTGTTGCTCCGTCGCGGTTCCACCAGATCTGACTGCGGGCAATACTTCTGTCTATATCCACTGCAGGATGGAGTTTCGGGCTCCCTTCCGAAGAAACCCGAGGCGCACTGGATATGGATAAATTTGCCCACTAGAGGCTCGATTTTTATTCATATCCAGTGCGCTTCGGTCTTGTGGCGCCGCTTCCAAAAAAGTCCTAGAGGCACTGGATATGGATATGAGTCTTGCACGCACTGACGTCGCAGAAAAAATGCAACATCGCACAACGATCACCACTGAGTGGATCCATAGACCCCATCTTTCGGAGCTGTTTTTGTTGGGGCGAGGTCAGATCGACACGGGATTGTACGACAACGCGCGCTGCGGCACAGACATGAGACATCCGAATCTCAGGGTTACGCAGGTTTCTCTAGGGGAGCGAACATGACATAAACGTAAAGACTCTGAGGTCCGTGCGGATTTCTTGGATCCGCGCTAGCCCCCCTCCCAGGCGCGCGGAGCGCGCCAGGGGCGGCGCCAGAGGCGCCGCCAGGGGGCCCTGGCGCCGATCCGAGAAATCCGCGCGGACCTCCGACGTATCATGTTTCCCCGTTCTCGTTCCCGATCCTCGGCGAGGGCGTTCTCGGATGCCACGGACAGGCCGTCACTGGGGCCCCTGCGGTGGCTGCCGCCGAACGGCCACCAGCCCCAGCGGCGCACGTCCCAGGACTCGTCTCCCCCCAGCGCGTCGCACTGCGAGGGGTGCCGGGCGACCCGAGAGCCTCGAGGGAGGGAGACCCCTCCGCCTCGGTCCTCCTCCTCCTCCTCCTCCTCCTCCTCCTCCTCCTCCTCCTCCTCCTCCTCCTCCTCCTCCTACGTGCTTTCCCCTCCCTCCTCGGTCCTCCGCCTCCTCCTGCTCCCCCTCCTCCTCCTCCTCCTTCTCCTTCTCCTTCTCCTCCTGCTCCTACGTACTTTTTCCCTCCCCCCTCGGTCCTCCTCCTCCTGCTCCTCCTCATCCTCCTCCCCGAAGCGAAACAACTTCGTGTCCGCGACCTTGCGGAGGGCAGCTCCGAGTCAGCCAAGGGGCCCCAAAGAGGGCCCCAAAAGTCGGCCCCAAAGGACCCCAAGACCGCCCAAGAGGCTCCCAAGAGGGCCCCAAGGCGGCCCCGAAGCGCTCCAGGAAGTCACCGAGACGGCCCAGACAAGGGAGGACCGACTCCACGATGTGGCGCCCCAGGCCCAGGCATCCCACGATGCGATGTTTCAAGGCGCGGCCCCCAAGGGTCCCGACCCCTTCCCTGGTGGTAGCCCTTCTCATCCAGAGTAAACGTCTCCTGGCACCGACGCATCGATACTGTGCCCCAGGGCCCGAAATCGAGGGGAACTGCCAAGACAAACAAAAAACACATCGCCAGAGATCCGAGGCCCAAGCCAGTCAGAGGGTTTTGGAGTGGACTGGCTAAACCCCGTTGGCGCCCATCCCCGTCGCATAGAAGCGCTGCAGATAAACATAATCTTTCGAAGCTCCGCGCGGATTTCCTCGATCGGCGCTGGACGCCACACGACACCGAAGTTCCGAGTGGCATGGCCTCTCTTGCAAAAGAGCTGTGCAATGCATGCTCGTCGCTGCAGCGGCCCGCGTTGGGCGCTGCCTCTGGCCGTTGCGGCTGTGCGCTGCGACGGTGCCGCGTCTAGGCGGGCAGTCAACCGTCCTGAACCGTCGTTGAACGGTCCGGGGCCCTGGCGAGGGCCCCCAGAGACCGAACATGGCCAAGAACCTCCCGTCGTGACCAGTCCCCACGACGCGAAGAGTTGTCAAGAGCCGCTCCGCCTGAATCCCCGGTCGCCCCTCGGGGTCGAGACGCGCACCCGTTTGCCGAGCTGCGCCCAGTTGTGGCGACGAGGGGAGCCCCCGAATGAAAAAACGAAAACTGTGAACCTCGATCCTCGATACGCCGGCACGAACAGGTCTGGGCATGCGGGCCCCGATCGGGGAGACGTAGGACTCGGGTACGGGGGACTCGGGTTTGCCTGACGGGGGCCATCATAAGAATGCCGAGACCCAATCTGAAATTTGACGCGGGCTCCCGCTGCAGGCATCCCACGCAAGCCGGGCCCGTCAGAATCCGGGGCGCGCTCGTCAAAAAACATCGGCAAGCCCGAGCTCAGGCTTCTATTCGAGCCCTGCCCTTCCCCGATCGAGGGCCCTGGCAGTCCCGGCCCTTTTCCCGGGAGCGGCTTCTCGTCCCGAGTCGCTGCTGCCACGCTCCCGAGGCCCGGCAAGCTGCAGAGGCCAAAAGCAGCCCCAGACCTCCCGTCCTGATTTTTGCACGACGCGAGCGTGCACGACCCGAGGAGGAGCCCCGGCCGCTGCGGGGAGGAGGAGGAGGAGGAGGAGGAGGAGGAGGAGGAGGAGTTGCCTGGGGCCTTGGGCCCAAGGACCTCGGGTCCCCCCCTGGAGCGAGGGTGACGCGATCGTGCACGACCCGAGGAAGAGCCCTCCTCCTCCTCCTCCTCCTCCTCCTCCTCTTCCTCCTCCTCCTCCTCCTCCTCCTCCTCCTCCTCCTGCTCCTCCTCGTCCTCCTCCTGGTCCTCCTCCTCGTGCACGACCCGAGGAGGAGCCCTGGCCCACGCCCCGGCCGCTGCGGGCTTCGGCCAGCGACTCGTACTTGTGCGGCATGGCCGCGGCGAGGGGGCCGAGGCGAGGGCCCCCGCGTCGCGGGGCGTGGCGCCGCCGGGGGGCGCTGCGAGCCAGAGCGGAGGGGCCAGGAAGCAGGGGGGGGAAGACGGAGGAGAGGGGGGAGGGAGGAGGAGAGGGATCGGGAGGGGGAGGAAGAGGGAGGGGGGAGGAGGAACAGGGGAAGTAGGAGGATGCAGGGGGGGGGGGGGGGGGGCGCAGGGGGGGGGAGAAAGGTCGCGGAGGCGGAGGAGGAGGAGGAGGAGGAAGGAAGGAGGAGGAGGAGGATGAGAGGAGGGGAGGAGGAGACCTAGAGGAGGAGGAGAGGAGGTAGTAGGAGAAGGAGGAGGCGGATGAGGAGAGGGGATGAGAACGAGGTATGAGGAGGGCGGTTGTTGGGCACAAATGCCAGAGAAACCACAGGCGGTCCAGGATTTGATGGGATCGGACGCGGCCGAACCGCGACTCCCTCTCCAAGAGGGGTCGGGGCCGGCGTCGAGGCCTTCCTCCGGAGCCTTCCTCCCGGGGGAGGATCCTTTTCGGTCGCAACACCCCCGAAACTGGGACCAGACTTGCTTCGGGCGAGGATGGCGGCTCCTCCTCCTCCTCCTCCTCCTCTCGTCCTCGTCCTCGTCCTTCCTCCTCCTCCTCCTCCTCCTCCTGCCTCCTCCTCCTCCTCCTCCTCCTCCTCCTCCCCCTCCCCCCTCCCCCTCCCCCTCCTCCTCCCCCTTCCCCTCCCCCTCCCCCCTCCTTGCCCAATTCGCCTCCGCTGGTCGGCCAGGCCCCCCGCGCCGCCCTCGAGGCCTCCGCAAGGTTCCCTGACGAGCTTGCTGGCCGCACCGCCGCCAGAGGCAGTCGCACCGCCTTTGTCAACAGAACTAGAGATTGCCGAGGGGCCCTCCACGAGAGTCCCTGGCCTGGGCAGCTAGGGAGGCACACTCACTCCCTCGCCTCCTCCTCCTCCTCCTCCTCCTCCTCCTCCTCCTCCTCCTCCTGCTCCTCCTCCTCCTCATCTCCCTCCTCCTCTTCCTCTTCCCTCTTCTCCTCCTCCTCCTCCTCCTCCTCCTCCTCCGCCCTCCTCTCCTCCTCCTCCTCCTCCTCCTCCTCCTCCTCCTCCGCCTCCCTCCTCCTCCTCCTCTCCTCCTCCTCCTCCTCCTCCTCCTCTCCTCCTCCTCCTCCCTCTCCTCCCTCTCCTCCTCCTCCTCCTCCTCCTCCTCCTCTCTCCTCCTCCTCTCCTCCTCCTCCTCCTCCTCCTCCTCCTCCTCCCTCCTCCTCCTCCTCCCCCTCTCCTCCTCCTTCCTCCTCCTCCTCCTCCTCCTCCTCCCTCCTCCTCCTCCTCCTCCTCCTCCTCCCCTCCTCCTCCTCATCCTCACGCCCTCCTCCTCCTTCACTCCTCTCCTCCTCCTCTCCTCCTCCTCCTCCTCCTCCTCACTCCTCCGCCTCCTCCTCCTCCTCCTCTCCTCCTCCTCTCCTCCTCCTCCTCCTCCTCCTCCTCCTCCTCCTCCTCCTCTCTGCCCACCACCCATCCTTCGTGAGGCGACGCGCCGAATGCGCGCCGCAGGGAGCGCAGCGACGGTGCCGGCGGCTTCTCTCCCCGCACGGTGCGCACCACGCATGTGACAGGAGACAACCACCGAGACAGCAAGAGTGACAAAGAGCGCAAGGAGCAACATAAACCATCAAGTAAATCAGTGACAGCGACAGAACATACGCGTGCGATAGAACAAATGAACGTACCACACATGTTAAACAAGACCACCTGCCAAGACAGCACGAGCGGCCGTGAGATAACAAACGAGCGAGATGAATGGTGTGCGTACCATGCATGTGACACAAGACAACTGTCGTGACAGCATGTGTGCCAGGCCAACAGCAAAACATGGCCATATGTAGCGCGACGTGAAGAACTGAAACGTCACATTTAACACTATTGACTGTGAGGACTGTGGCAGAAATTCGCCGGCCCAACGGGCCAGGGCGTGCTAAGATCTCTGGTAACAGGTAAACAGTATTTCTACTTCGCGCGCGCGGGGCGGCCCCTAGGAGTCCCCGGGCGAAAAATACCCCGGCAGGTCCCCGGGAGGGTGGGGGTCAGAGATGCCGGACCGGGCAATTTCTCGACACCTCTCACGAGGATCGTGGCCTCCGAGGGGGGGGGGGCGCAATCGACTACCCCCGCCCCTGCCCCAAGAGGCCCCCGAGAGCCCCCCAAGAGGCCCTGGGGGCCCCCAAGACGCCGCCAAGGAGCCCCAAGAGACTCCCGAGAGGTCCCCAAGAGGCCCCCAAGAGGCCCGTGTCCAATGCATTGGTCGCGTCTGCAACAGAACCTGCAACAGTAGCCACTGCTAGAGGCGTGTTTGCAACAGCATCGGTTCCAGTTAAGTCAATGCTCTCAGGCGGTTCTGAGCCCATGGAAACTGCGTCCGCCGAGTTGACACTTCTGTTTTCACCTGCTGGAGCTGCTGTAGGTAACATCGGCATTTGCTTGCGTATTGCTGTATATTAATGTGGATTGTACTCCTCGTTATCCCTGTCCCTCTCCGTCTCCTACTCTTCATGGCCATCGTCATCAGCAGCATCATCACCATCATCGGCATCAGCATCATCATCATTATCATCATCATAATCATCATTATCATCATCATCATCATCATCATCATCATCATCATCATCATCATCATCATCACCATCACCATCATCATCATCAACGACATCACCATCGCCATCATCATCATCATCATCATCATCATCATCACCATCCTCACTATTACCACCATCACAAGGTTTTTGATCTACAAAAAAACTTCACGGATGGAGGGAGGGCAGTTTTCAACATGTGGCTCTAGCCCTAGCGCCGCGCACATTCGTCTTCACTCTTGCTGCAACTTCAAGGTTGGAGGGTGGGTCGCTTTCAAACGTTGGCTCTCGCCTGAGCGCCCGGCGCATTCATCTCCAACGTCCGCAACGATTTCATGCATCCGTAGGGGTAAAATCCCAGGAACATGTTGGGACGGTGTGGGAGTGGCAGGATGCGATCATATTCTGATTCGCGGCGTCGCATTACCAGGAATGGTGTTCTGACACGGCTTAGGATCATCAGGACGCGACAATCAAGTTGATGCGAGGCGTTAGTGTCCCAGGAATGGTGCCTTGACACGGTTGACGACTATCACATGGTCGTTCTTCAATGGGGCACTTCCTGCAACGATGGAACGTTTTCGTAGGGACCCATGCAGGAGAAACTTGGAGGAAAGGTTTACTGCAACATCGTTGATGCGTCTTGAGTGTGCAGTGGTCCTCCTCCTCCTCCTCCTCCTCCTCCTCCTCCTCCTCGTTCCTGGGTTCTGGTGGCTTGGGATCCCATCGGGCGAACCCTCCCCCCCCCAGGGCTGGTCGGCCCTGGGGGGGGGGGATCCTGTGGCGACGATGTGGCAAGCAAAGGTAGGGCATGCGAGGCAGGCACCGAGGAGGGAATGAAGAGAGAAAGAGAGAGAGAGAGAGAAACAAAAAAACAACAAGAGAGAAGATAACCATAAAAAACACACAACAAAACACAAAACAAAACAAAAAAACAAACATGCGGAAAAAAGGGAAGGAGTAGTGGGACACGCAAGCGGCCGTGGCGGCGCCAGTGGCGGCGCTGAGGAGGTGCGGTGCCCAGAGTGGCCGCGGCGGCCCGCGGCCGCACTCGTCCGCGTGGGAAGGCTCACGGGCCTGTCCCTCTGCTCGCGCGAGCCCTCCACGGGAGCCCCCGAGGTCGAAGACGGGACCCCTCAACTGCGACCCAGCGTAAGGCTCCTCCCAACGCAGTGACCTCGGGGCCGCCCCCGGGGGGGTCCACCGAGCTCGAGGTAGACTTGAGCCTTCCAGGCGGTCGGCTACACGCAGGAGCGACCCTGGGCAAGAGTGACCTTTGCTGCGCGGCTTTCTGGGGGCCGCGGGGGAACCAGACCTGGGCGCGCAAGCCGCTGCTACGGCCTCGTTTTTAGCCATCCGGGGACCCCTCTGTGCCCGCACCAAAGGTCACTCCGGCGAAAGGTCACTCTTACGTCTAGTCGAGGTCTCGGGGGTGACCACACTCGCCAGAGTGGCCGGCCACGCTCGCCCAGGTGGAAGGCAGGCAGGCCTCTCCCCCTGCGCACAAAAGCCCCCCGAGGCGTCCACCATCCCGCGACTGGTACCCTCCCCTGACACGCAAGAGTAGGGTGCCCAGACCGCGGGGGTGGTGGCCGCCTGGGAGCGTTCCACCGCGCGTGGGGGGGGGGGTGCCTTTTGTGGCAGTTGCAAGGTGCTGGTAAGTGTTGTGTCCGTCCCCATCCGTCTAAACCAAGACCTATCCCATCCATGATGAAGCCGCCCCTCCCCACAGTGACAATGGCCGCGGCCCGCTCTCGCCATGGGCGGTGGTTTGGCCAGAAGCTTGGGCAGAGGTCGTTGCATGGCAGCTTGAGCAGCTTAAGCCAGAGGGTGTGCTGAAGGAAAGCGTGGCCAGAAAGCGTTGGCCAGTGGTGGTAGCTTGGCGGCGATGTGTCCGAGGCCTCCTAGCCAACGCCGAAAAGCCGACTGTCGTTGGTTCTCTGGGCCTCCGCAGAACCTGTATCTCCCCCTCGGGTGATAATGAGAGCTAGCCGGGCGCAGCAACACTGCGGCGGTGGGTCGGGCTATGTTGGCTGTGTCCGGGGCGGCCATGCTTTTGCCGACACCGCCGTCGGTGTCCACCTATACCGCCCCGGCCGACTGAACCCAACCTCAGCCGCCGTGACGCTAGTAGGGAGAAGAGGAGGTGAGAAGGTCGTGCAACTGACGCTTGAAGGAATGCGGCGGTGCGACAATACAAGGGGGGCTGTGGTGGCTGCGCCCCGCGGCAGCCGCGGCCCTTGCCGCGACCGCTGTCGGCCATGTTCCCGCCCCCGCCCATGCCATCGAAACCCTTAACTTAACCCTCCCCGCCACCACACGAGGAGGGATGGTGGGAGGTTCGCGAAGGGAAGCAGGGGGAAGGAGGCTGCAAGAAGGTGAGCCAGGAGAGAGTGTAGGTTCGAGGTTGGCAGAGCCCTCATTCGTTCACACGGCTGTG